GCAGAAAGAGCCCCGGAACTGAAGTCTTTGGATTTAAATAACGATGACTTTCCAACAGGTAGAACCCTGGGCGTACAATGGTCACCTCAACTGGACACACTAAGCTTTAACATAGCAGCCGCCGAAAGGAATTACACAAGAAGGGGCATCTTGTCTATTACCAGCTCGGTCTTTGATCCATTGGGATTGGTGGCCCCTTTCATTCTCCCAGCAAAAATGCTACTACAAGATCTCTGTCGGCAAGGCCTAGGTTGGGACGAACTCATTGATGATTTCTCAATGCAGCGATGGAGGATATGGTTAGAGGAGCTAAAGAGGCTCAAAGAATGGAGTATGCCGAGGTGTTATAAGTCAAATCTGTCCTCAAATATAATAAGTAAACAGCTCCATGTATTTTCGGACGCGAGCGAGAAGGGGTATGGCATGTGCGCCTATTTGAAGCAGGAAGCCCAAGATGGAACAATACAAGTTCCCCTTGTCTTAGCAAGAAGTAGAGTGGCTCCTTTGAAATATGTATCTATCCCTCGTATGGAGTTGACTGCAGCAGTTATGGCAGCCCGTCTCACAGATTCTATATTACGTGAGTTGAATATCAAGGAAGTTTGTTACTGGACAGACAGCCAGACTGTTCTTAAGTATTTACAGAGTGATACCAGAAGATTTAAAATGTTCGTAGCTAATTGTGTTTCTACTTTATTGAACTTGACCAAATTTTCACAATGGAGATACGTCAGAACGGCTGACAACCCAGCCGATGAAGCCTCTAGAGGCTAAGTTATTGATGATTTCTTGCGAAATAAGCGATGGATCAATGGGCCTGATTTTCTTGATCAACATGTTGAGCAGCACATAAACCCACAAGAATGTTTGGTTGAAATTGATGAGAATGACCCAGAAGTCAAGAAGGTTTCCAATGTGGTTGTAACCAAAAACCAGTGCTGTTTCCTAGACGGATTGTTCTCCAGATGCTCAAGTTTCATGAAGCTGAGGAATGTAGTGGGTCTAGTTTTAAAGTTTGTCAGAAGTGCAAGAAAGAATCAATCGAAGAGCAATGATGTTGATCAATTGGAGGCCGCAGAGAGGTTCATTATAGTTCATGAACAACAGAAACATTTTGCGGCGGAGTTAACTGCTTTGAAGAATGAGGAGAGGAAATCGATAACTGCGGTAATGAAAGCTAGTCCCTTGCGTAAGCTGGACCCTATGATACTGGTAGATGGAGTTATCGTAGTTGGGGGAAGACTAAGAAGAGCAGCCCTCCCAGATAGAATGAAGCATCAGATAATAATCCCCAAGAGATCTGAAATTGCTCCATTAATTGCCCTTCAAGCCCATAAAAACGTCGGACACATGGGTCGAGCTGCTATGTTAATGTATGTGGGAAAAACACTGGATTATGGGGGCTGGTGCATTAATAAAAGGTGTTATCAGTAAATGCGTCATCTGCCGAAAGTACCGTGCCAAGTCTGCAGAACAAAAGATGGCCGCATTGCCAAGTGAGCGTGTGCTCAGCGACAATCCTGTCTTTTATAACACCGGGCTGAATATGTTTGGGCCATTTCAGGTCAAGCAAGTTAGAAGTCAAGTAAAAAGATATGGACATCTGTTCACATGTTTAGCAACAAGATGATGATGATGAGGGTCTTTGTACCTTGTTTTGCGAGGTAGAACACATAGTAAATGGAAGGCCGATTACCACAGTATCGTCAAATGTAGATGACTTGCGACCATTAACACCGAATATGATTCTAACAATGAATGAAAAATCTGTACTCCCACCCGGAGTTTTCGATAAAACAGACATGTATGTCCGAAGGCGGTGGCGCCAAATACAATATTTGGCCAATTTATATTGGACAAGATGGCGTAAGGAGTACTTGCCTCTAATGCAAAAGAGGCAAAAATGGCTGTATCCGAAGAGAAATTTGCAAAAAGGAGACATTGTGCTAATTGTTGACGATTCATTACCCAGAAGTACTTGGCTCCTTGGACGAGTTATTGAAACCAAAGCAGACAGCAGAGGACTTGTTCGGTCATGAAATAAGGTGAAAACACTGCATTCTACCATAGAAAGACCCATTACTAAATTGTGTTTGTTAATGGAATCAGAGGACAATAGGGCAGAATAAACCCCTCAGTTTAATAACCGGAGAAACAGTCTACTCCCTGAGATGGTTATCATTGTCAAAGTATTAGTCACTGATTAATAATAGTTGAATCTTATTGTACTGTGGAAGTGGTGATTGAAAAGCAGAAAACTATTTACATTGATCTTCATACTTAAATTTTAAAATTTAATGTTGACATTGTTTGTTAATTAGTTTCAGATGTTATGTTTAATTTCTGAGTGTTTCAGGAATTATTATATTAGTGTAATTGATCCTCAATTTAGGGGCCGGTGTAATGAGTTATCTATAGTATAATTCTCTTAACTATTAAGGGCGCGCTTGCTATGAAGAAGCGAAGTAATGGCGGTACTTGTTGATTAGTTTGAATTACAGAAGTGAAGAAACCTGGTTTGATTTATGTAAAAACGTTGCCCTATAAGGCGGGGATAAGTTATTAGAAGCCACAAATCTTCGTGAATCGCTTTGTCAGTAGTTCTGATATTGATAGTCGACATTAAAGACAGTTCATTGACTGATTACGTTAGTGGCGCTGTTGTTTCATTTCCCGTACTTATATTAGTCACTCTGGCTGAGTCGGTATTCTTATGATATGAGACTTTACATTCATTGGAATTTCATAGGGTTCATTTGTGTGCTCGGCAACTTGTACATCTTCTACTGTTAATATGGATCATGTTCGGGATCGTCTATAGTAATGTTTCTCAACGCGGGAGGGATCACGTTCTTAGCATCACCACAAAGCTCACTGGATTCTTCAGACACCCGGGTCAATGTGCCTTGGCTGTCATCCCGGATATAATACGCCCCGATGTGATTGTTTTCTTGGGAATAATGGTATCTGGAATAGTACAGAAAAAAAGAATCAAACTCAACTAAATTATGGAACGTAAATTAAAAAGGTCACGTAGGAAAGCATCAAATCACTGTAGAATCAACGACTAGATCAAAGTCTTTCATGATTAATTATATATATATATATATATATAAATATATATATACATTTATATATATATATAATTTATTTATTAATGAATGGAATGATAAAAAAAAGAAAAACATGAATGGATAAGTGAATGAATGTATGAATGATAATATATTAATGTTTAGATGGATTGGTAATGCACAAATGAATAATTAAACGAACAAACGAACGAACGAAAAACAAATAAATAAATAAATGTATAAACGAAATGACTGAATAATTGATTAGTCGATCGATCGATTGATTGGTCTGTCGGCAGTCTAACTGATTGATTTACTGATTAGTCTGATTTGTTGATTTATTCTATTCATTTATTGGTTAGTGATTCAATGGTGTATTCATTTTAGTGATTTGGGAATATTGTGATTTTGATATTTAGTAATTCGTTGATTTTAGTGAAACAATAAAGTAAATAATGTATAACTACTGTAGATACAATACCGTACAGGCAAAAGACCAAGAAAATAAGAAGGAAGATGGTGATAGAAAGAACAATCACTACTGCTATTATATATTCAGGAATTGATGAACCTATAGAAAAACAAAAACTACTATTACTTCTACTACTGTTGGTGATAATGATGGTGATTATGTAAATGATGATGACATGATGCAAAATAGTGTAAGACCGGATCAAATTAATGAAAATATTTTAAATAAACGTGACTACATGGCTTATTGAAATATATAAAAAATAAACCAATGAAATGAAATAAGAACAAAAGTAAATTACAGTCACAATAAACAAAATTATAATAATTATATAATCCTGCCGCTTATGATGAATCAGGTAAAAATACGTTATTAATTTTAATATTTTAGAGTGCAGTGTTAGCTACATGTTTTAATATAAACAATGTATTAGTCACGATTGATTAACAATCAACGCTACTTTCATATCAGTTCAATTTGTTAACTTCAATATTAATGAATGGAAGCTATTTTTTTTCCTGTTGAAAATTGTTATCATTTTATTCAATTCAATTCAATATATATATATATATATATACATACATAAAATTGTTTACTTGCAGCACAAAGCTGAATGGTGAAACAAAGTTGTTACATAAGGGTAAAAGATTTAAAAAAAAACACACACACAAGCTAATAAGTAATTATAAAAGATAAAACTATACAATAAACATTATCGAATTCATAAATTAAACAACCTACTATACAGAGACACTTTCATCAGATTAAATTACTAATTAATTATTTAGGTTTAAAGGCAATACATCAAGAATTTTAAAAGGAAACTATGAAAATAATAATTAGACCTACAATACAATTAACATTGTAGACATTCTAAACGTTATAATACACAAACATAATACAGTGGAGTCATTGTATGGAAAGCATCATTAATTACATGAGACACAACTTCATTATTTGAAATCTTTGCTATACTAGTTATATCAATCCCTATTACATATTATTGGGTATGGACGAGTTATTATGCTAAAGTAATAGGCCTACTAAAGTATGTATAGCGTAATATTGTTTTAAACTTAGAGCATACACAGAATTAGTATTATATTAAAACATTAGATTAATTAAATTTTAAATTGACGTAATTCTTGTTTAAATGTTAATATAATAATAAATAATAATATTTATTATTATTATTACTACTATTACTATTATTACCATTACTTCTATTATTTCTATTCTTATTATTGGCTTTTCCCAGCAGTAGCTGGAAAAGCCATTGTTTTTGTTCTGATTTANCTTTGGTCACTTCCACTGTTTAGAGCTTTTCTACACTTTGTCAAAGCATAGACCATATATCAAGGATGTGCCTCCTAATATTTTTATTATCAATCTAGGGTGGGGGTGCATGTCAGTACCAATGTAAGGGATTTATGGCAAACACTCTACACCAGATATTTCAAAAAACGGATCAACTGATTTGAATGAAACTCAAGGGAAAGTTTAACCGAGTTACAAGGAAGAAATTATTATGTGTTGTGGACAATACAGTTTAGGGTGTAAATTTGAGGGTCATTCAAATTTTTGAGGCCCAAGACCTGAATCTATCTATAAAAAAAAAATCAATTGGTAAATCAACGAAACTTTCTACTGTATAATAGTTTGTGAAGGTCTAGTAAAGAAATAATTACATTTTTGTGACACTCCGGAGCAGGGTGTGAATATTGCATTGCAGCAATATTTAGAGTTTCACTAACGTCGTGGTAGTCGTGAACTTGGTTTAATTGTTTTTTTTAACTTCATAATATGTTTAGTACTATAAGTACTTTTGGTTTCCGTGATTTGTTTTATTTTTTTTATCATTTCTCATTATAGCAATGAGGAAAAGCTCTATGTTCTGTTGTACAAACGACATAGTAAGTCTAGTTATTATTATTATCATTATTATTATTATTATTATTATTATTATTATTATTATTATTATTATTATTGTGGTAATGATTATAATAGTATTATAATGTAATAAAATAATCTATATTATAAATTGAGCAAGGCCTTATGTTTGTGCTGATTTGCCGTTCAGACGCGTGCACATGCTCTGGAAGAAATACCGGTATATCGTAGCACCATTCTTTTAAATGTCTTACTATCTGGCATATTTTGAGCTCCTATTTTGTCTATCATATTTTACGAATTACCAATTTTACGAATGTACAAAATATCGGACGAGAATGTCACTCTACAAAAGCAACACATGTGAGAATTTATTATTCAAATTACGTTAGTACAGTACAGCGAAATGAGGAGCAGATTATTATGTAAGTGGTAAGTACCACTTCAGAATTCGCGACTGATAGGCCTACAAACACGTAAATGTTCACTAAATGATGGAATAAAAATATTATAAACTCCTGACCATGTTAATCACGAAAAACAAGTCAATACAGCACGAATAAGTAATGTCTACATCTATCAAATTTCAGCAGGTATTGTACAATCCATTTTTTACAATATTCTTTACCAGTATGCCTATCTAACCTGCTTTAACATTATAAACAAATTTATTATTGGCTCATGTTTTTATTTATTTAAAAGGTAATTTGACTTTCATTTGAAAAAATGAAGAAAAAAATAAAAGTGGCTCAACAAAAATGCAAAATCTTCAAGGGGGTCACCATCCGACTCCACTCTAGCGTAATCACAGACCCCTACAGGTGATACACCTGGGTGGATCCATAGGCGGCGATGGTCGTCCCCGCCCTTAACATGTTAAAGTGCTTTTAAATTTTAGCTGGCAAAAAAATGTACAGATATTAAGTAAATAGTAAGCAGCTTTTTCTTTAGGGGTGGGGGTAATCTATGAGAACAATTTTAAGGCTAATATTATTGTTGGCTTTAAGTCTCTCGAAAGATTGGAGGGTGACAAGTAAGAAGACAGTTCCCTAATTCAATTAATCTTGCGTTATTTTTACAGGAGTTCCCTTCTTTCTGCACCCCTCCTGAAAATATCTGGACCCACCCCAGTACCTCACAGCAGAGTATCAGTATGTTTAAAGGTAAGTGGAACGTACCACTTAAGTGAGTGCAGCTGATACAAACAGGTTAATCGCTAAAATAAGTCAATATGTGACGAATAAGGAATGTCTCAGACTACATCCATCACAACATTTTATCATGTATTTTATAATCTATTTTTTACAATATTCTTTACCAGTATGCATATGCCTAGTATCTTACCAGTAGGCATAGGCCCAGTATCTTACCAGTAGGCATAGACCTAGTATCTTACCTGCTTTAACACTATAAACAAAATAATTATTGGCTCATGTTCTTAATTTAAAAAGCAATTTGACTTTCATTTGCAAATGTCTTTCTAAAATTACAGTTAAAGACGAAACAGTATTCAATATCATGCTTTAAAATATTCTGTTATGGCAATAGTTGAAGCATTTGGCCGACTGGGCTTCACAGAATGATAAATAATAATAAAATTAATTTAAAAAAAAAGCATAATAAAAATATTATGTTCATTAGCACACATTTCAAAATACATTGCAAAGTAGACATTCAGATGCTTATAAAAACGTAGGATATGGTAAAGAGTGATTATTTTATGTTTGCATATTGAGGAATAGCATTATTAATCGAGTCAAACTCATGTCCCATATGTTTCATTGGGATCTCATTTTCGCCTCCGGTAACTCGAACGTTTTCTTCTGTTGTAGCTACCTCAAGTCTACTTGTCTGTGGCATTGCATAATCATACGTGTCTTGAGTCCCTGTTTGGATGACATCGTATTGATTTTCCTGCGTCAAATCATCTTTGATGAGCTTGGTATAGTTATCAAGTTCATTTTCTTCTTCAACTACCTGGGTATTTGCTGTCACTTGAACTTCACACTTATCCATGTTTTTCCCATTTGAGTTCTTGTATCTGGAATAATTCATCAAATGTATTAGAATTAGACTTCAATGTCAATATTAAGATGATTAATTGTTTGGTTGGTTGTCGGTCAGATAAAATAAAATAAAAGAATGAGTGACAGTAATGGGCAGACGGAAGGACGAACGAAAAAATGAATGAACATAAGAACAAACAAATAAGAATAACAGATGGCGAATAATGTTATGTGTAAATAAATTGAATAGATTGAGAATCAAGCAAGTTCATATACAAATAAGCCTATATAAATATATGTAAAATTAGCAACAATATAATAAATATAAACATCTGAATAACATTTAAATTAAAATATATTATTCCTTTTAATAACCTATAATAAAACATTATTGTCATAACATTAAGCATTAAACAAAACATTTAATAAATAAAAATTAAAATGATACAGAAAAAGCCCACAAAATCAAGCCGATATATCCACAACCTGATGTTAACATATTTTGTTATTGTGTTGAGTTGGACCGAATAAATAATGAAAAAGTGCAATGGAGAATTGTTAAGTCAAGATGCTAGATACACTATATGTGTAATCCTTAATATTAAACTTTTAAGTGTTTTATTAAAATAACTGAAATGATTAATGTATCGAGAGACTATACCTGTAGTATAGGCCAAATGCCAAGGAAAGAAGAAAGATGATGATGAAAAGAACAACCACTAATGCAATCATAAATCCGGGGATTGATGATCCTATGGAACATAATAATGATAATAATGATAATAATAATAATAATAATAATAATAATAATAATAATAATA